AACAAAAAAAATATTAAATTTTCGTTAGATGAAACTAAATCCACAGTAAAGTGGCTAACCTATAATGTGGGTTGAAAAAATAAACTATAAACACCCTCCGAGTGGCCAAAAATCAATTGGTATAACTTTTATTGAAAATGGTCTACTAGTTTTTGATTCTAGAAATGACAAACATTTGTTTTTATAAGTATAAAAATACTACCTACAACAAAATAAAATCGATGTCAGTAACGAAATCCCCAACGTGAGCTAATCTTTAAATGCGAATTTTCAAAAATCATTTTTTAGTGCGCTCCTTTAATGTGGTACAATAAGGTACCATGCAAACTTGAAGTCACTAATTTTAATATCATAGCCTCGGCTGTACGTTGATAAGTCAGTCAGGACATCTACTTTTATACACTACACAGAGAGATATTATAATATAGTGATTAATACCGATTATGATAATAAATAGGTTACGTTAGATTCGAGTTATCACTTATCAGCTGTATAGGAGTATCGTGATGAATTTATATGGGGGGGGACGAGGAAGAGGCTTTAGCCTATAATGTTTCAAGTATACGACATATATTCTTAAAGTGTAATTTTAAAAACAATCACGGTGTTGAGGTCTCCCCATCTCCCCTCCACAAATCATTCTGCGCCAATAATCAGCTGTCTCTGTCGGGATTAAAATATGTACCGATACGATATAGGCAGTATTGTTGTACATCGGTGCATCACATACCTAGCAGACAAATTTCTGAGTACACACAAAACATAAGCTTTGTTGAGCAAAAGTTCTTACTTTTATACATTTAAATATTCCTTAGCTATACTGCCACATTATTCATACGTCCCCCTCTTTTAACGTTTCTTAACCTTGAAACACTTGAAAAAAGTCGTTTGTGATTAGATTTATATTTTTCGTATAAGCTTTTTACAGGAAAATGTGACTGTCCCGAGTTCTTGAGTTGTTTTTTGTTTCATACCCCTACTCGTAACACCCGGTCTAAAAATAAATTTTATCTAACCGAAAAAGTAATTAATTATTCAAGAAACACCCCCTAAACAGAATTATAAAATCTATAAATTAGTTGAACATCGATCTGTTCATATCACCAAACTTCAACTCTTTTAAAATATATTGGAATACCATACTTGTAAATTCATAGTTATAAGTACAATATTATTAGTATTGTATATATTATTATATTTCTTTGTTTTTTTTTCTTTTCAATTATTATTGATGAACTATTTTCATTATTATATAATGTATTTAATTGGGCCTGGAACCTTTTAAAACTTAAATAAATAAATAAGTGTCCAATAAATCTTATGATGAATCAGGTAAAGTGCATGATGGTTGCAAATGAATTAACCTAATAACAAAAGTTTCCACTACCCGTTTAACCCATTTTCGTAGCGTATTTTAAATGTTTTTACATTTTAACCCTCCCCACCACTAATCTAGGTAAAAATATCCAAGGTTAAACGTATACACCGAATAAAAACACCAACGAATTGTCAAAAAATTAATAAAAATTGTTATAAATACAGAAAAAAAATATAGAATTAATTATATTATCTTTGATTATGAATGACAAATGCTTATAATAATTAATTTTATACCTACCTATTGTCTATTATTTTATGAAAAAACTATTCAACATATTATATTTTTTATAATTTATTTTCTATTGACTCTTAGCAATTTAAAACATTTTAAATTTTTAACAAATTACATACTTCATAAATAGGTACATGTATCAAAATGTAAATCATCAAATCAATTCATTTTTCAAACTATTTATAATTTACAAAAATAATGTCACTATTTTAAATATTCATTTAAATGCGCTATAGGTATTTTTTATTTTTTTATTTAGAATTTTTGTCTTATCCGTTGGTTATTTTGCGTTGGCTATTTTGACTTGTACATTTTGTCCTTGAACACTTTTCCCAATACCTCCCAGCACACACATGCCAAAAAAAAAAAAATAAAAAAAAAAATTCAAACCCTCCAGATCCGCTGCGACTTTGATGTCTCGCATACATCATTGCTGCGGTCGTTGTTGTCCGTGCGTGGCACGCGATCCGTCTCGCAGTCATATTTTGCCAATATATTATTGTAATAATAAAATACAACATCGCAGGTTAGGTTGATCGTTTTTTTTTTAAATCAAATATTTACATTTTTCGTCCGAGCGGATCGCATGTGGTCTGCCACGAGGTCCGAACAAGCTGCGATGTGACGATATTATGACGACGAATATGCATTGTAATATAATACAGGGTGATTCAAAAGTGATCTAAAAAATTCATATTTATTTAAAAAAATAAATGTATACAGAGTTGGGGGGGGGGTTGAAGTGTATAATATACCTATTCATAAGATAACCACGATTTTTAACAGAGCATTGTAATGATATCTTATAATATGTGTTACAAAATAATAATATTATCACTAGATATATGACCCCACTGGTCGCCCGACACGCTGCACACATCGACCATATTATGATAATATTGAAACTAATGGTAATAGTTTTTTTATTTTAATCTGTCCATCTGGACGCAGCAGTCTCGATGACTGACGACCGTTCGACAATCACTATGCATAAAACGTTCGCAATATCAATACATTTACACCGTACCAAAGAAGAAAAAAACTTAATGAAAATAATATAATTATATTATTGTTATATTATATAGAAGTCGTCGGCTTATCTTTATACGCTATCGCGGTATAGGCGGTATAGCCATAATATAATAGGTACTACAGGTCGTTTACCCTCTGTTTACGGAGCTTCCTATAATTTGGCGTCTTGGGTATATTATAGGTATATCGGAAGACGCGACTTTTGAATCATCCCGTATATCGAGTAGTATACACCGCGGTGCTAAATCGCCGCAGCTTATTTTTACACACAAACCGGACCGAGGGCGCGGTAGGTAGACACCTGTAGAATACATTATTATTATTATTATTATTTTACGCATACCTGCAGTGTGTATAATATTGTTCTACGTTTTTTAAAAGCGTTCTACAAAGACAATAATTTGCGCGCGCGGGCGTAATATGCGTAGGCCGTCGCAGCACATATGAATATAATATATATGTATATAAAATATAATACGTTACATCGCAATAGGTCTCGATGCATTTGCATATTATTTCTGTGTAAAGTAAATATTTGAAATCCGACTCGATATAAATAATTCGTACCGCGGTGCGTCTAGGATTAAAATTTAAAATTTCACTTTGTATATTTTTGCATAATAATATAATATTACTGTTATTATCATTACTATTATTATTATTATTATTATGCTATAATATTATTCAGTTTTTTTTTTTTTTTTTTGTTCCTCGAATGTAAAATATTTTCGTTGTTTTCTAAATTTTAACACGTCAAAAACATTTATTTTTATCTTATCATATTGTGGTATGCATTGTTTCAGATAAAATTGTATTGGAAAAATGTGAACACAACAACAATAATATTACATACGGCCTATAAAATATATTACCCCAGGATCTACAAGAGTCTGAGTAAAATTCCAATGACAAAAAAAAAAAAAACAGAGATGAAAATAGGTACATTGGTAGGTAATTCTAAATGTTTGTATATAATGTCGGGGAAAAACGTGCACCACCAAATTCATTTTATGAGCTCTTTCGACTTACAATATATAAAATTGATTGCAATACTACATTACTACATATAACCTATACGGCTATTCTGGACTATAGAATTCAGGGACTGGAACCGAACCTTAAGGTACTGGTTCTATACTGATAATATTAAGAACCGGAACCAAACCGAAACCTTTATTTTAATAAATAAAGTACCAGCATTTTTAAATAAAATAGTTTCATTTCATTTTTATTTATCATAATATAATGGTACAACTGTTTTGTGTATAAACTATGTGTGATCATATGAGTTTTCTAATATTTCTCATACTATTAATTAAACCCACATTCCGGAGACGTATTTGAAATTATTATAGTTTTTGGTACCTAAATTATCTGGAACCGATGACTTAAATTTTTTTTTATCAAAAAACCAGAACCAAACCGGAACGGTTATTTTATTTTTGGAGAACCAGTACCGGAACCGATACCAATAAATTTATTAAAGGTTCCAGTCCCTGCTATAGATTATCTCGTTATATAACCTAACATCCTATTGTCGCTCACCTGATCAAAATTGTAACTTAAATACGTGGTGGTCTGATCGAGTTCGATGTCCCTAGTATACAGCATTAATATTGACCAAGCATACTTACCCCCCCCCTAATTTCTTCCTAAAATTCTGATAATTTAAACATACTCAATTTACCCATTTTTAAAATTCTTGATTTTTTGACACACTTCCTCTTTTTCGAATGAGAACCCATCTTTTTTACCGTAAATTATTTAGTGGATAATTTTTTTTAAATATTCATGTACCTAGCTAAATTAAAATTCAAACGAGTACCTATAGTTTCTCAGCTATTGAAAGGTTTGTAAAAATTTCAAATCACCGCAGCCCTCAATCGTACAAGCCCATTAATCATTATCATGGAGACACCTATACTATCCTTACAGTTTACACAAAGTTAAATAACTCAAAAACTATTCAGTCGAATTCTTATTTTGATATGTCAAAGTTTTCAGAAAAATTAACTGCCAAATAATTTATACCTAGTAGAAAAGTGTTTCTTTTTTTGAAAAGCAGAAATCTGTATCTCCACTGAAAGCGTTTTAAAGTAGTAAAAAATTCTAAAGAACTAAATATGGCCTTTGAGTATAAATTTAAAAATCCTAAAAATTCAATTTTGAATAACTGCGTTATTAAATAAAAAAAGGGGGTGAGCATGCCCGGTGAATCACTCTGTATATTATATTATATTTTAATGCTTTTTAATTACCGACGATTGTCACGGTGACAGTCCGCATTGTGTTGGTTATAGATTATTTTATTTTTTTTTTTTTAGTATTATAGGTGTACGGTTTTTCAATTTCTGGCATGGACCTCAAATCTCCTATAAAAGTGGAGGGAGTCGTGTCCTACTTGCCTCGCAGTGTCGGTGGCCCGTCCGTTTCTGATGGCCCACCCGTTTCTAATGGCCATTTTGACGACGTCCGCTTCCTTCCTCCCTTAAGCGGTGAAAGTCTCAATCGTCGTCACAGCCAACGTGGCCGTCGTTACATACAACGTGACCATCGTCAAAGACAACGTAATCTTCGTCACAGACAACGTGTTCGTCGTCACCGACAACGTGATCGTCGTCCCAGAAGCATCGGCCTTCGTCACTGGAGCATCGGAACTAGTCACTGGAGCATCGACCGTCGTCCCAGAAATATCGACTGTCGTTACAGAAACATTGGCAGTCGTCAAAGAAGCAACTACAGCCGTGATAGAAGCTCCAGCCCTCATCACTGGAGCATCGACCCTCGTCACTGGAGCATTGACACTCCTCACTGGAGCATCGACCGTCATCACAGAAGCATCGACCGACGTGAACTCGACAGATTTTATGGATGCCTAGATAGACGTGATAGAAGCTTCAACAGACGTGATAGAAGCCTCGACCATCTTTGCATACGCTTTGACCACCAATGCAGAACCATTGAAAATTGCCGCAGAAGCCTAGACTATAAATTCAGAAGCCAAGGCAGTTGTTGCAGATACCCCGACAGTCATCTCTGAAGCAACCTAAACGTGGTTATTGAGCAGTGCGTCCACCACGTGAAGCTTGTAATCAAATTTATTTGTTTTATAGAATTTTATCTGTTTTATGGAATTTTATGTTTTCGATATACCATAATGTAATATTTTATTACGAATATATAATAATGAATCATAATCAAAAAAACACGTAGCTGTTTTCTGGAACTGCGGTTGGTTATTTTGATAATAAAAGAATAAACAATTATTTTAATGTATTTGTTTATTTTAATGAATTGCAAAATACAGGTATCTCGAATTGGTGGGATGGAGGTGCGAGGAGGGGATGGAACTCCTCGACTATTGTTTGTTTACTTGAACCGGCGAGATGGGGGGAGGGGGCAAAAACTAATGCAATAAGTATTAAAAATAAATATTGTTGTCAATGATATGTAATATCAAAATTAAACGAAAAAATTATGTGAATATAAGTCCACATTCACTTACAATATGTTACATAGTTACATACTTACTACTTACATAATATATTATATTATTTGGAATATAATAAAGCTAAAATGTCATAACTAAGGATAACTGTAATATTAACATTTTTATGAATGTGTTAAATAATATTGCACTTGGAACGCAGTTTTTAAATCGTTGAATTGAGCTCCTCTGTTTAATTTTTCCCAATTCGAGCACCGGGTACGGATGTTTCGCTCAATTTACAATTCGTACATAGGTATCCACATATTTGAAAAGTGAGAAAAATCTAAAAAAAACATAAATGACGATAGTGGTTTGAACACAACGAGAACAATATTCATGTCCATTATCATTGTAAAAGTAGTATTTAATACAATAAGGAAAATTAGAGGACGGAAAATTGCCTGTATAGACATACAACGGCGAATATACAGGTAGATCATAATATTATAGGGGTTTATTTATTGAGAAAGTAGGAAGCGAAAAAGTTTTAAGGATTTTCGATGACACCAGTTTTGAAAAACTAAGAAATGTTCTCATAATTTTACAACATAATAATATAATAATATAATAGGAAGTATTTATATTTCCCACCAACTGTTTACACGAAAACAGAATAATATTTTGAAATTCTATTTTTTGAAAGGCCCAAACGGAAGCAGAATACTATTCCACCACTCCGCTGTCTATAATGACTCAACGCACTCATTTATAAAAGTAAAACTATTTTCCACACCGACAACTTTTGTAGCATCTAATACAATATAGTACTATAAAAATAATCATTCTGGTTCCTATACTATTGAAAATGAAAACTCCTATATAATATAGAAAAAACCATGTGAAATACTGAAATGTAACCAATTTATTGTTTACTGGTTGAGTTAATCTACCTAATAAGTATAATTATACTCATATAATAGGCGTACTCGTTCACCGAAAACGGCTTTTGGTATATTTATAGTTTAATTTCGCAGTTGTATACTTAGACTATTTTTTTGTACGCGCGTCATATTATAATATTATTATATATTATAAACACAATTGGAACAACCGCAGAGCAGGTTTTTGTATAATATTAATTATGGAATGGTAATGCATTTTCCAATTTTGAACAATTGATTTACATTGTATTTGAGTATATATATTTAATATTGTAAATCGTTAAAAGCGTATGGCTTAGTCATTTTTGATCGATGGCCAGGACATACCACGTTTGTACACTGTGCAGTGTACACGGAGTGAATAATTAATAGTATAAAAAATTAATCGGCTTATTGACGTTTATTTTTAATCCTACTCGACATCACTATACTAATTACAATATTATATATTTCAGCCAGTGTACGTGATTGGCACCACAAGCAACAGGAATATTTTTATTTTTAATTTTTTGCGTGGTGGTGGTGGCAAAAAAATAATAAATATTTGTCGACCATTCTATCTCCTTTTACCAGTCAAATAATATTATAACCAATAATCTACGTGCCCGGATAGTACAGTTGTTCCCAACCTTTTTCATTCTACGCCCCCCTTGTAAATTTTCTAAAATCTCATTCCCCCCTCCATTAAATTAGAGTTTAGGCAAATCTTAACTAATATAGTTGGGAACCGCTGGTATAATATATATATATATATATGGGTAGGTACTATACAGCGTGTTCGCGATACAGTAAAACCTGTGTAATATCGAAACGGTTGGGACCGGATATTTTTTCCATTTTAGACAGGTTTCCATTTAATAGGGGTTGTAAAAAAAAAATTTCCCGATAGATCTTTATTAAATGTAATTTATTATTTATTATTTATTTATTTCATATATTTTACATATTAATTATCAGTGTTGGGAATAGATAACTAACAATTTATCTAGATAAAGATAAAGATAAACTACAAATATTTGATCTAGATAAAGATAATTAAACAATAATTTTATCTAGATAAAATTAAGATAAATTGTATACAACAATTATAATTACATACAATAGGAAAATGATTCTACCATTTTTATAACAAACTTAATTAAATTATGATGTGCCTTGCTAATGTTCAATATAGGTACCTACCTAGAGAACTAGTTTAAATAGATATCATACATACCTATATAAGAATAAAATAATAAATCACTGCTATTAGCTGCTAATTAACTTCTATTATATTGCAAATAATAAAACCTACTGCGTGTAGTCATGTGAATTTGGCATTTAATATTTGAAAATAGTACCTACTTAGATAATAATACTGAAATAAACACAAATACTCCATGTTTATTTTAAACTACAATAGTAATAATATATTTTATAAATATTATATTATTTAACAATTGCCGATAAGAATGTGTTACTGACTTGTTGTGTTAGTAACTAATAACTAATGACTAATGAGTGATGACAAGTAAAATAAAATAAAATAAAAATACTTACATCAAACAGTTTTATTAAAACCAAAAAGTATCGACTTGAATAATTATTTATCTAAGTACCTATCTAGATAAGATATTTATTTATCAAAGATAATTTTTTAAGATAATTTGTATATATTTATATTTATCTAGATCAGATAAAGATAATAGGGTTTTTTATCTAGATAATCCCAACACAGCTGTTTATTATCGCATTTACGTTTTATTCTACATAATTATATAAGTACTCCAAATTCATCCAATGTTTTTTGTTTTGTTATTTGACTTGCCATTTTCTTTTCTACTAAATTGTTCAAGTTGAGAATTGATTCAAGAAGTTCATTTTCATTATTTTGATCCAATGCGAACATTTCTAATCGTCTTATTTCGTGGACATCGTTTTTATACGTTTTAATATCATTGCCGTGCAATGGTACATTATCAGTTTCGTCTTCGGAACTGGACTGTTCAACGTCTATAATTGAAGTGCAAGGTTTTACTGTAGTATAATTAATATTATCAGGTATTAGGTAGGTACCGAAATATTTCAGCTGACTGATCCTTCGACTGAAATGTGAGGTGATAGGAGGGAGTATCTAAATACACATATTATTCAGACAAATTTCGAATTTATAACCCCTTGCATGCGCAATACAACATGCTTTTTTTATTGCGAATTAAATTTTTTCTAGAGACTCGAGTAGAGAATTTTTTTTAAACGAGTTTTTTACGAATTATAAAATTGGACGACTATGATACAGTATACGAGTATTTGCGGTATGATCAAATTTAATATTTATGAATAATCTGCTTTAAACGGAGTATTAACAATGTTCGTTTTATAATCGAGGTATCGCCAATATTTTTAATTTGCTATTTTTTGTACACAGAGAAGACTAGGATATACCCAGCATTCTGTGAAGTTTTGTAAAATTATTAAATTACTGAAAATATAACGAGTTCGTGTAGGTACTTATCCATAGTATTGTTATAATATTATGTACAACTTTAAGAGTACTGCATAGGTACCTATACCACCGATGAATATCATATATAGGCAGTAGGTATGCAATAATAAAAAAAAGTCTACCTACCTATATATTGTTATAAATATTTGAATGACTAATTATTAGTTATAAATGATTACCCACATAAAACTCACACAAAAAAATAAAATTCAACCACAATGCTTTAAAACAAAAAAAAAACTGTTTTGTAAATTGCAATACAATAAACTAGAGATAAAACAGGAATAGAATTTCAGTGTATTTGAAAATTAAAGTTATATTTTATATTATTATTTTTTGAGTATTTAAATTGGTTTACAACATAGATTTTACAATGATGTGTGTTTTGTTAATTGTTTTTTATTTGCGGCTGTGTACACAATAAGTAGTTGAAATTAATGCTTCAATTTTCTACTTCAGTATCTTGTTCGATGGGAAAGTGAATCTAGTTGGTGTTGGGTCAAAAAGCATGAACATTTAATACAGGGCACATTGTTAGTATAGCAGTTGAAAAATATTCAAAATAATTGTTTATACAAGCATTTAAATTTCAAACTTGTGACAAAATTTAAAATTTATGAATTGTTTAACTTTTATAGCTAAGGATTGAAAATTTAAAACAAGGTTCCACGTAAATAGGTTACCTATGTATAAATTACTTTGTTCACTAGATATATCATCAAATATACTTAGTAAAATCATAGGCTGACTGACAGGCTTCGCTCAGAATCGTTTTTAGGATACAATGATATCATGACATCATTGAATTCAAAATAATAGCATCCATTACAGCGAACCACTTGTAACATACTGTCACATCCACTTTCCCTCTCTTTTTAATTCAAGTTTCCTGAGCAAATCATATTTTGATCAACGGATATCGAACAGTAGTGGGCCCCTGGCGGGTAGTATACGTTTCCTATAATATGTGGATAACGGATATATCATTATTATTTGGCCCCAGGCCCAAAATTATCTTAATTCCAGGTTGAGTATATTATTACATATTTTAATATGAAAATCGAATTTCGATTGAGTATAGTCAATTAGTACCTACAGTAGTTAATGATTAATACTAAACATTAAAGTTAAGATGAGTGGAGTTGTGCACCATCGATTTCAGGTATTTTTTATTTAAAAAAAAA